GGTGGCTTTGCATTCTCCTGGACCCTTCCTTAGCACTGGATAGGCACAAGGGGAGATTTCATGACTGCATTAGTCTCTGCAAATACTTTAGATCTGCCTGTTACAGTTAGATGGGAGCAAATCAGGGGCAGATATGCCCTAGGCTTTGCCAACTACAGCTCTGGCCACCTCCCTCCACTCACACCTGCAGAGGAAAGGGGGTGTGTGATCAGCAGGAGGCAGAGGGCTTAAAAAATGCTGGTGGCTACAAGGACAGGGGTGGTTGTTGCAGGGAGATGTCTCACAACGTATTTTCCTAAAGTTCTGCATAGTTTCATTGACTGAGAAAGCCCAGAGTAGCTTTCTGTACTAAACAATACTTACTTGCCCATTGACTTGCAAGATCCTTGTATTAAATAGACTACAGATTGTTTCTTTGGTGTCATCTAATGATTTTTTTTCCTCTGCTTCTTTCAGCTCCAAGGCTCCTTGAAGAGGAAGTTGGTGGTAAATCTGTCACCTGTCAACAACAAGAGGCCCAATGGTGTTTCAGACAGCTCTTTCCTTGACATTAAAAGGATAAGAGTGGGTGATAATATCTCAGTGGGACAAGGTGGACAGCATGTTAACAATTGCCAGAGCCAGTCAATGTCAGGAACTATGTCTGTGGGGCAAGGACCTCAAAGAAAGGCCAGCAGCCTAGCAAACAATACACATGCTAGTGGGAATGGCATGTTTAATATGACTTTGAAAGAGGTAAAGAAAGAACCAGGAGAAACAATGTCCTGCAGCAAACACTTAGATGGCCAGACGTCCCATGAGAACATGTTCCCTAACAGATATGGGGAAGACTCGTGGGAACAAATGATGGATCTGGAGCTTCAGGAACTATTTAATGAACTGACTAACATATCAGTGCCACCAATGAGTGATCTTGAGCTAGAGAATATGATAAATGCCACGATAAAACAAGATGAGCCATTCAACATTGACCTTGGGCAGCAGAGCCAGAGGGGCCCTGCAAGATCTCTGCAGATGGATAAGATGGTGATAAAGAGTGAATATGCACCAGGCATGAATCAGGCTCCCGTGGGCTCCCCACAGATGAGGCCTTCTTCTACAGGTCCAGCCTTCACTATGGCCACTGCTGCCATGTCCACCTCTTCACCCATCCCTTCGGTGCCTCAGAGTCAAACACAGGTATCGCAGGTTTCTTCTGCATCCAGTCGGCCATTGCCTAACTGGCAGGAGGTGTCTCATGCACAGCAGCTCAAGCAGATCGCAGCCAACCGGCAGCAGCATGCCTTGATTCAGCAGCAGCAGCAGCAGCAGAACCAGACGGCTAACTGGTCCACCTTGTCTCCATCAGGACCTTCCCCTGGACCCTTTGTGCAAGAGAAAATCCCCAGTCCTTCTTTTCGCCAGCAGCAGTTCAGCCCACAAAGCTCAGCAATGCTTGGGGTACCAGTGAATGGAAACCAGTCGAAAGGGATGAACAACTATGTTTATAAACCAACCACTCCCCAGAGCAATCCCATGGACATAATCATGCAACAGAAGCCTCAGGACCTCAACAGAAACTTTATCAATAGCGCTCAGCCACCACTAGAGCAGCATCATGGCAACACAAAGCCTTTGTTTCACTTTAACTCAGAGCAAACAAACCAGCAGATGCCTTCAGTTTTGGGTTCCCAAAACAAGCCTGCCCTTCTGCACTACACACAGCAGGCACAGGGTTCAGCCCCCATGCAACAGCCACAGCAACAGCAGCAACAACAGCCACAACCGCAGCCTGCTCAGCCTCTCCTGAACCAGTCTCTTCAAAGGCCACCTAACGTACCCCTAGCAATGCAGCAAAAAATGATGCTTCAGAAAATGCAGCAAAGCCAGCAAATCTCAGGTTTGCAGTATCCGGTCTCTCAGCAGCATAGACAGGTAAGGCAAATTCCCCCTCTTACAGAATCATTCTGGTCTGAGTAGTAAAAAGGCTTTTCCAGCCTGGTCTCATTCCTCCAGGAGATGTGTACTGGTAGCAGATAATGACCATCTCAGCACATACTTCAGGAGAGCTGGTGATGACATGTTTAGCACCTATTCAGGTGTAGCATGGATGCACATTTATAAGAATTTCAAGAAAGACATGTTGATAACACTTTTTTCTTAATGCAATGAAGTGAATATGTCACTGATATACATTATGTAGATACTTGTCAGAAAGGTGAGATAGTAGGGCAGATCCAAGCTTATTTTGGATCCTTGTCTAACTATTCTAGCTTACAAAAATTTTGAATGGCAAAATTTCAACAAATTCCTACATTATCTTAGATAATGAATTTTACAATGTTAATTTTTATGCCATCATTTTCCTCAGGGAGGCAGGGTTAGGAAATTCTGGTTTTAGATATATTTTGACTGACGTGACAAAAATACTGTTTGCACATTTGTTATCTGTTTGGCAAAGGAAAACTAAGACTTATCTGTGAGCTTTGTAAACACCCATCACACTTCCGGGAATATTCTGTGGATAAAATACTTGCTTAGATATGAAGGTGAAGGTTGCTACAGATATGTCTACAATTATATACCACATGGCCAGCTCCCACAGTGTTATTATGAGACAGTGTTCTGACACTATTGATCACTGTAGCTCAGCTATGCTTTGTCAAGTCACTGTGCACCAGGATCCCAAGTTTCAGACTTGCCAATCAAAGTTTGAATATGTAACCTCACTGTACCCAGAAAATGGAAACCAGGTGCAAAGCAAGTAAAATGTACTTGACCTTGGGACTTTTAAGCCACTCTGGAGAGTTTTGGTGGGACTTGGGCTCAACACGTTTGAAGGTATGGAATGGAAATATAGGTGTGGAGATGATTTGTGGATGTGAAAAACAGCTATAAGAAACTACCGAAAAGTGAAAGCCTAAGTCTTCCATAAAGTCCCAGAGAAGCAGCATTGTGAATGAGTCATTCAGAACTGGAGTTTCTTCACCAAACTGTTTGAGTGAACAGTCTGGTGTTTTAAAAAAAGTAAAGTAAATGGGGTTGTATGCATGGACACCTTATCAGAACTGGAGTTTCTTCACCAAACTGTTTGAGTGAACAGTCTGGTGTTTTAAAAAAAGTAAAGTAAATGGGTTGTATGCATGGACACCTTACTCCTTTTAACTCTTTTAAATTCCCTGACCAACTAACCGTGACTTTTTCCAAGACAATCCCTTAGCAAGAGGTACCAGGTGAAACATTTAGGCAGCTTTGGGTGGGTAGACATTGCATTGTTGGGAGATGATGGAGAACGAGTGTTGGCAGGAAGCAAGCACCTTTTGCTGCTTTACAGGAGGTCTATGCTGGCTGTTCCTCTCCTTCTTGGACCACTGTATGCTCTCTTCTTAGGCACATTTCCCCGTTCTCTTAATAGACTGGCAGGCAGATGAAATTTAACAGTTCCTTCATTTAGCCATGATGAAGCTTCCAGCAATCTGTCATCACAGGGGAGACAGGCAGGACTTTTGCAAACACTACTATTTTTCTGAAAAAAATATACAAGGTCACATGCTGGAAAGGAACTGCTTGAGGCAATGTTAGCTCCTTGCTCTGTGTCCTCTTGGGCTGCTGCTCAGGGAGGCAAGCCAACAAGATGGCACTTGGCAATATGGCCATAGTAGTACTTGCAAGGTTTATCATGAGTGTAGCAGAATCTCTCACCTGTGCAGCCACAAGATCTTTTGGCTTAGGAAAGTTTCCCTAAATGGACTTTGCTGAGTGTCAAACTTTAGAACACCAGGGAAGGAGTTTTGCCTATCATGATAGAATTCTGCAAGTAGCTTTCCGAAGTCTCTTCACTTGACCACTTTCCCACAGTTTTGTCTGAAGAACATGGCTACCTGACCCACAGCACAGCTGAGAAACTTAGAACCTTTGCAGCTTCTAAGGCAGTAATCTGTAGGCACAGATTACTGGATTTTTGAATGTTGTTGTTTCTATGCTCTATAGATCTAACTGAATTTTTTTAGAGATCCTTAGCAGTTATTCCAAAGTTCTGCTGAAATTCAGAAAATCAGGTGGGTCTCTCTCAGTAGAGTGTTCTGTAGCTGGTAGAATGATACTTAGAAATCCTATTGGTCTGTAAACTGCAGAGTTTTGGAAAGGTATGTTCACCTAGCAGTATTTATGAGTTCTGTGGACTCCTTTGGTGCCTTCCTGCGCAGCTGCAAGAGCCCACCAACCTCTTGGTCAGGGCCTACTTGCCCCATAGGTCTAGCCTGAATTAAATCAGAGTGGTAGGAGACATCACTAGTATTATCTTCCAATAAAGACGACAAAGATCAAAACAACCTCATGGGTGAGCTGACACTGATTTTAGTAATGGGGATATCACCTTATTTAGTCTGTGCAGTCTTCTATCCTGGAGGATCATCTCCCACCTCTCAGGATTCCTACACATCATTAGCAGTAATGCATGATTAATTACCAGCATTTACTAATTAACTTCATGATTAATATTTATTTTACTCATGCCCTATTCCTTCATGAGGAATCAAGGTTTGATTCTGCTTGGTATCATTCAATTCCACCTCAGATCATTATAACTGTGGACTATAAGGAACACCTCCGTACCGGCTGGAATGTTTTGTAGCTGGACATGTGAGCTCACATTCATAAAGGGCTGCTATGACATTGCCATCAGATAACACTGACTGGAACACTAATTCACATTTTTAGCTGAACCAGCTCACCCTCTGGTTTTTTACTCCCCAAGCTTTAAGATCCCCAAAAAGCATTTGAACTTGACTTTATCAGTCCAAGCTTGCTAACTGGAAATGTAAGGCTTATAATTTCTCTGCTTGTCACATTTACTTTGTGTCAAATCGGAGCAAACTTATAGTGGGATTTGCTAATTAGATGTCTTTTGCCTCCAGGGAAAAGTCATAAAAATGATGGAAATCATCTTGATTTCCTGGAAGGTTGATCTGAATGAAGGTTTTGTTTGCTTCTCTGTTTTATTCTCCATTGTTGTGGGAAAGATTCACCTTTCCATCATCTATCAGGATGCAGAGTCATGAAAAAACTCTTAGAAACTCAACACTCCCTTTGCCTAGGCAATAATTATAAGCTGCAAATTCTGGACAGGTTTAATGAGGTTTGCAATATTTATACAGAACCTGGGCTGATGTGGGGAAAATCTGTAACTAGGCTTGGGTAGAATTTTGAGTTCTAACTTTCCTCTTGTGAAGAAATGTAGTCCAGTCAGTGAAAGATGCTTCTGAAGACATAAGTTTTTTGAATAAAAAACTTGATGATTTTAACTAGTCCAAGAAATTCCACACGTATTTTCAAAGTTTTTGATCAGCCATAAGACTTGTTTGATAAGATCCACCAGTCTTCTGTGAAGAAGTTAAACAACAATTAAAAAAAAGTAAAAGCCTGTATCTACTAAATAAAGTATTATTCATCCCCTTCTGGTTTTGACCTAAAGACAAATTAAACTCAAAGGTTTCAAGCTGACTTTTTCTTCAAATTTTTTATTTAACCTTATTCCCTCAAGGAAGGGGAGGAAAGAAGGCTGAGCTCATGAGAACGAGAACCCTAATGGAGGGAGGCTGCACTATCTGCTACATGTGGGCATCTGCCCTATCTGTTCTTGGCTTTGTGGGCAAGGATAACAGGTGATCATGAGAGCTTCAGCCTCCCCTACATGAACAACCGGGGTCCTTATTTTTAAGGCTCTTGGAGGCATTGGTATTGTCTATGTAGTTACAACATATTGTCTATGTAGTTATGTAGTTGGGCAATGGAGCACTGGAACAGGCTGCCCAGGGAGGTTGTAGAGTCTCCTTTTCTAGAGACATTCAAAACTCTCCTGGACGCTTTCCTGTGTGATCTCATTTAGGTTCCTGCTCTGGCAGGGGGATTGGACTAGATGATCTTTGGAGGTCCCTTCCAATCCCTAACATTCTGTGATTCTGTGATTCTGTGAACCCACAACAGTGTTTTCTTGAGCTCAAGGCCTTGTTCCTTTATAATCACTTTGAGGATGGGAACATCTTCTCCTTTTTTCTTTTCTCCTTTTTTTTTTTTGTAAAAGAACCCAGGAATGTGGTGTCATGAGTTGCAGTTTGGGGCTTTTTTTGCCCTTACTTACCCTGGTTGGGGCATACCTTAGATCATTTTCTTCATCGGGTCTTAACAGGTTCCTTTTAAATCCAAACCTTCCTACTGAATACTGAGCAATCCCTTCTCCGGTACATGCTCCAACCATGAGTGTCCCATACATGCTTCTTGCCTCATGCTCACCCACAGCAAGGCTTTGTGTTTTGCAGCATGTGGCCAATGATCTCTCAGGTGCTCCATGACCCATGGACACAGCATGGCTGCATCTGGCTGGAGAATGGCAACGGTGCAGCACTGCACCGAGGGATGTGCCACCAGTGAGGAGCTTGTGCTCAGAGGACCTCCAGATGCTGAGGTGACCTCCCCTTGCAAGCCCCCTCCATCACACCAGCTCTTCAAATGTTCAGAAAATCAGTGCTTAGCTGGTATATGTGCACTGCTCTTAAATATCTTCAAGGGAGAGAGATGGTATTTCAACTAACCTGGCAGCTTTGCAAAGGTGCTGAGGCAGATTCTCCTCTCATTTCCTCCAGTGTAAACCCAGGGCAATTTAGTTTGTTTTCAGGAGAGCATAATTGGACTTACAGCAGCATAGTAAGCAGCAGGATATGGTCTCCTACCTTTTTTTTTTTTTTTTTAAGCATGGGCACCATAAGGATTTAGTAAGAAATGTATGTTAAACTGTCAGATTGTTAGAGTGCTATGTGAGGAAGAAGCACCAGGAGAAAAAGATCTAATGGCTTTTTTGAAAGGGCAGATAGAAAAACTCTTGTTATCATTCAATGCTGAGCGCTAACTTGCACCTCTAATTTAGCCTCCAAAACTTC